GTCGGCGCGCGCCCTCGCGGCCATGCGCCGGTCGTGGGAGCAGCGCGCGCTGGTCTGGGCGCGGGGCGGGTCCGGTCGCTGGGAGGAGGGGGATGAAAGCCGGCTGGTGTGGGGTGAGGCGCTGGGGAGGTGAGCCTTTAGGAGGGCTGTGGGGTTTTTATTTTACTTTTATTCTTATTTTTTATTGACAAGCAGAGCATGTCTGTAGATGTGCTTGTTTAGTATTGTTTAACGCCAGTGTTGGGCTTGAGCCCGCTTCCCGACGGTACAGGGCGTGCTTCCAAGTCTATGGCGGAATTTCTCCTCGTACCCTACACTTGAAAGCACGCCCCGTTCCCCAGTGGGAGACGTGCCTAAAGCCCACTACCGGCGTCAAACAATACCAAGAAACCAAGAAAAGCCTACCATGTCAAGTGGACTCAATGAACTTGCTCGCCTGTTCAGTTCTCGGATCGCAACTGTTGGTACCAACCTTATCCAGACCACCAGGACACCTGACAGCCTCGACATGCGTGTTCAGGGGCTGAATAGGGCTGCATGGGACCTCGTGTCTGGGCCTCAGCCATGGGCGGTGCTTACCCCATTCTCGTGTCTCTACCAAATTGCTGACCCCTCAATGTAGGGCCACCAGCCTGGGCGGGACCAACAACCCCCAAGCCCATCGCACTTAACAGGATCAGCCTATCGTGTGGATGCGCTCCCCACGCTCCGGGTGAGCCATGGTCGAATTTCAAGGGTCATATTTACCCCGTCGACCCTGGCTTTCCCCAGGCCTTCTTTTTCTCTTTCTCTCTCTTCTTTTCCCTTCCTCTATCCAACCCAACCCGTCTGGGCTCGTTTCCGCCCTACCGCTCCACTCGCTCGCGGTTTCGGCCTTTTCAAGGCAGCAAAGACAAGATGCCCTCTCTTCGCAAACCCGCCGTCGCCTGCGCCGCCCTGCTCCTCCTCGGCGGCGCGGCCGCGGCCTCCTTCCAGCTCGACACGCCCCAGCACGTGCTCGACGCGGCGCGCGACCTGGCCTATGACGGCATGGCGCTGTACGAGGGCAACCGTTCGGGCCACACGCCCGGCAAGCTGTCCGAGCTGGACCCCATGGACGACGGGCCCTACTGGTGGTGGCACGGCGCCGTGTTCCTGAGCGCCTACGTCGACTACTGGGCCCGCACCGGCGACGCCACCTACGCAAAGGTCGTGGCCGAGGGCCTGCTGGCCCAGAAGGGCGAGGGCGCCGACTACTACCCCAGCGAGCAGCGGGCCCTCATGAGCAACCACCACCAGTGCAGCTGGGCCGTGGCCGCCATGCTGGCCGCCGAGAGTGAGATGGCGTCCCCGGCCAAGCCCGACTGGCTGCGCCTGGCCCAGAACGCCTTTGACATGCAAGCCGCCCGCTTCGAGTTCGAGGAGAAGCCGCTGGGCGAGAACTACAACTGCGGCGGCGGCCTGCGCTCCGACATTGACTCGAGGGCGATCAGCTTCTACCGCAAAGACAGTACGTGCCACCCACAACGTAACGGAAGAGGGCCATGGTGCGCTGTGCCCCTTGCTAACTGACCAACTACCGCAGCCCTGGCAAACACCTGCTTCATGAACCTCGGCGCGCGCCTGGCCAAGTTCACCGGCAACGAGACCTATGCCAAGTACTCGGAGAGGGTGTGGAACTGGATGTGGAACATCGAGTACATCGACCACCAGACCTACGCCGTCTACTACGGCGCCGCCATGAACCACAACTGCACCGGCATGGCCAAGCAGCGGTACTCGGGCAGCGCCTCCTGGCTGACCGAGGGCGCCGCTTTTATGTACAACTTTGTAAGCACCTCTTTGCAAACACACACACACACACACCCTCACAAGATACCAACCCCCCTCGCTAACCATCACAACCCACCGTACACAGACCAAAGGCTCCCCCGTCTGGAAGGAGCGCACCGAGAAGCTCACCTCCGCCACCCTCTCCCACTTCTTCCCCTCCGACGTGGCCGTCGAGACGACGTGCGAAATTTTGCGCGAGGGCGGCGCGTCCTGCTACGGCGACCTGACCGCGTACAAGGGCCAGCTGGTGCGGTCGATGGCCACGACGGCCCGCGTCGCGCCCTTCACGGCCGGGGACGCCCTGCCGCGCCTCAAAAAGTCCGCCGCCGCCGCCGTCTCGCAGTGCACCGGCGGGAGCACCGGCCGCCGCTGCGGCTTCGGGTGGGCCGCCCGCAACTACACGGAGCCCCAGAGCCCGGGCCTGCTGGAGCAGGCGCACGTGCTGTCGGCCGTGTCGGCGCTGGTGGAGGAGCGGCCGCGGTCGGCGTCGGCCGGTGGTGGTGGTGGTGGTAGCGGCGGAGCGTCTGGGTCTGGGTCTGGGTCTGGGTCTGGATCGGGATCGGGCGACAAGGGAGGCGAAAAAGGGGGTGAAAAGAATGCCGGGGTTTACGCGCGCGCAAATGTTGGCTTGGTCGCGATGGCTAGTGTAGCTGGGTGGGCGGCGTTGTTGTTGCTGTAGGGTTAATGGAGGATGGGGTATATGACGGGTAGCCTTTTAGACATTAGAGGAACACTAGTAATAATCAACTCAAAAATCACTCCTGGACCTCAGCCTGCGGCAAAAGGATCAAAATGGAAAAATGATGCCGCCCTACCCGGACCCATCCGATCATTGCCACTCTCTAAACGGCCTCAGGAGCAAAAAACCGATACAAACATTGAAACCTCGAATCCATCTTCTACTCCACCACTATATCCCCTCTCCCAACCCTCTCTACTGCATCCATCTTTGAGGCGGCCTCGAAACCCGCCCAGCTCTAGTGCGCAGCGGCGTGCCCGCCTCTGTGGCCTCCATCCCCTCCCCTCCCTGATTTAGCGGCTCGGTAGCGGCCCGGACAGCCCTTTTGTCCCACGTCGGCGCGAGGCTGGGAGCCGATTCCGGTGTGGGCGTGTGGCCGCAACCGCACTTGGGGGTGCCGCCCGAGGCCACATCGCTCTCCGCCGGAGTCTGGTTTGCCGCGGCAGGCTGCCTTCTCGGGCGACCGCGCCCGCGCCGAGCAGGCGTCACGGCGGAACCAGCTTCTAGCTCCCTTCTAGAATGGCCCCGGGTACGCCTGGGTGTTATGGTTACGGGTGTCTCTGGACCCTTTTTGGGGCGGCCGTGGCCGCGGGGTGTAGCGACCAAGATAGGATCCTGCTCCACTTCAACAGGCGGCTCGTCCGCGTCGAAATTCTTTCTCAGGCGGCCACGGCCACGGCGCGGCGTGTCGCTGGCTTTTTCGGGTGTCGGGAGGGCATATTCAGGAGGAGGCTGAACCTCGTCTCTGGCTGTGTTGACCTGATCGTCCGTCTCTTTGGGTGTGTCGCCTTGGTTGCCCGTCTCTTGCACAATGCGAACCCGCTTGTTCGCTGGTGGTTCCTCGGGCGAGGGAAGCTCTGCCGGGCACTTCCTGGGCGCTGTGCTGCTTTCGCCGCTGTAGGGCGCTCCCAGATCAAACATTGGGGGGACCCCGATGGTTGACGGAAGGTTTTGCAGTTTCTCCAGTGGCTGGCGGACAGGCGTGCCGTTGTCGACCTCTTGAGGACCCGTGCCGTTTTGGGAAGCAGCGGACGTGGACTCGGCCCGCATGAGACATGCCCGCTTGCTTGCCGGACTGTCCTCGGGCCATGCCTCCTCGGCCGGACGCTTCTTTGAGGATGATGTCCTGTCCTCATGTTGAGATGGTGATGGCCTTTGCGCCTCAATCTGTTGGCTGACTGCCGAGCTCGCGTGCGGCTGCCCCTGTCTCGTAACGCCTAGAGTAGACAAATCCCCCACGGCGTCCTGAGGGTTCCGGGTTGGCTGGACCTGTCCCGGTACAAGCTCCTCGGCACTGGGAGCCTGCTCTGTCTCCAAGGCATCGTCTATCTCATTCTTCCTTCTCAGCCATTCGTCTTGGAGGTTGTTGAAACTGTTGTAAGGTGGCATTGGTCCGAGCCGCGTGAGTCGGCTGTGAAGGGGAAGCGACGCAGATGGAGTTGTCGGCCACCAGTTCTCGGGTAACTCGGCATCATTTCCCTCGGCCACCTTCAAGGCAGCCTCGATCTCTTCCCTCTTCTCCCGCCACTCATCTCGATCCTCAGAGAGCTGACCGAAAGGGTCACAGGGCATTGGGCCAAGCCGAGCGAACTGCGATCGAGGAGAGAGTGGTGGAGTTGGCACAGTGGGATGATGGGGCAGTTCCGCTTCATTTCCCTCCTCCACCTTGAGGGCGGCCTCGATGAGCTGCTTCTGTTCGAGCTAGATCTCGCCGCGTCTCTGCCCTCCCGGGCGATAAAGATCAGGGATTGGTCCGAGTCTGGCGAACCGCGTCCGGGGAGATGACGGCGCAGAGGACGCAAACTCGTCAGGGTCCTTGCATTGGCCGGGCAGGTCGTCGTTTCCAGTCCAGTAGCCTTTGGGCTGCCTGGTCTTGATACGCTCGATATACTCCAGCTCGTCGACTTCGGAAGGGGTGTAGTCCATGTCTGGGCTGTCCTCTCGGGCATGTGAAGGGCTGGAAAGCTCGCGCGTGGGGCCGTGTTCCGCCGGCTCCCCAGGCACTAGTATGGAAGGCTCATCCTCCCATTGCCAATGGCAAGGCCCAGGATGCTTGGGGTCGCCACCAATATGCCGATACTTGCCTCGTCGCTCCCACTGTCTCTGCTGCCTCCGAGCTAGTGTTTGCCGAGCGAGACCCTGGCGTTCGCGGCGGTCGCTGGAGGCTGGTTTCCAGCGCCGATATCTGATGCCCAGCTCCGCACGCTCCAGGTGCCAGAGAAACCAGGGATGGGTGGTAAGAAAATTGAGGGCGTCGAGGCCCATGCCTCTGGGCCCTTCGCACCCATATCCCCACGCGGCCTTGGGTGTGCCGCGCGATCTAGGCGGCTAGTATTTCCAATCCCAGAGGCGGCGTTCCACAGAAAGGCCACAACAAGGTCACGGGCGACAATCAATGTCGCGCGCCTCTAAATCCAGTTCCACTGCTAGACCTCGGCGAGCCCGTCCGCGGCGAGGACCAAGATAGTGGGCTCCTAACATTCCATCTCACGAAAGCTGGATTCCGTCCGACTGTCCCCCGCAAAGATGGTGCTCCCGGGCACGATCGGAGTCATGTTTATTGTGATGGTTTCCTCGTTTGTAGAGATATATAGGTAGGTAGGTACCTTGTGTGTCCACCACACATGGGCCTCACACCGAGATCAAGAACCCTGGGGCAGCGGCAATGTTGGATTCGGCGCAAACACACGGCCAATACACCCAGGAGCATGGGTAAAAGTAACATTATCTACGACATCGGCTTTCATGAACGGCCTCGCGATACCAACCCTCGGTGAACCTGGAGGGGGCCTCTCGACTGTGAATTACGCACACCGGAGTAGTGGATTTCGCCTTGCCGCCACTGATGGTGGCTCGGCCGTTTGAAGCCATATCGAGAGGCCACAACCCGCTCGAGATTTCGGGGTCCCAGCATAGTAGGCTCAGTCACGAGTATAGCCGTTGGCCGTTTTGAGCTGTGGTATCTAGGCCTCGTGTCTACCGCGGTAGGCTTGTTTTCCGATGATGGCTAATCCTTCCGAGATATATTACAGTGGTAATCCTATCCTAGATATTGTGAAGCCCCCTCTCGATCCCTTATAGCCCATCACTTTTGCCCCTTCCCCTATATCCAAGCTTTTTTTTCGTACGCTTCCATCACTCACTTCACGACCCCTTCTTTCATCCTTTGAATATCGAGTCTTTTTTCTGCAAGCACCGGTGCAATCCTACCTGGCTCTTCATTCCCTCCTGGGTGTTCATCCACTGCGCCCCAGAGATGGTCAAATCTCCAAACCCAGGCACTCTCTTCCATCTTCTGCCGCTCAACCCCCTTGCCCATGATGCTCTCAGGCATCCTGACAACAAGCACCTCGTATCCACGAGTCAAGATGGCCAGCCTGGTTTAGAGGTTGGCTTCCATGTGCGTATGATGCCCAACGGCCGCACACTGGCGGAGCTTGGTCGGAATGCCCATCTTATTCTTCTGGAAAGCACTCCCGAGAACCCCATGTCCCGCGTCCACGCCGCCTTCGAGTTCAACGCAGCCACCGGCCTTGTCCTGCTTTCCTTCAAAAGCAGCAGCACCTCTCCGAGGTCGGTGGCTGTTCGTCCGTCAAGCTCGGGCGATGGCGGCGAGACTGTGCACGGAGGCAGCGTCATCGTCTACGGCACCAACTACAACCTCTCGATTGCTGCCTACAACTTCAGGCTCGTTAGGTCAACTCTTTCTAGTGTCCATCTGGACAACCACAAGCTTCTGGAGCAGCTGGCGCGCCGCGGCTACGACAGTGCCGTAGAGCTCATGGCAAACTTCAAGTCGCGGGACCAGCTGACGGAAGGCGATGGCAAGTCCAGGGCACTGTCCCACACGGACTCGGCAATTGGCACCTCGACCATGTAAGCCGTTTCTTTGCACCTCGTACCGCCCCGCCCCGATTCACAGATGGCGCGCGCTAACATCCACATCTAGCCTCACGTTGTGAAGTTTCTGGGTTACGACGTCTTGAATCCGAGGCGCCCAGAGATGTTCATGCCGCTGCATGACGGAGCTCTGAACATGCCGGTTGAGCCCATGGGCCACGATGCTCGCGCAAGCATCTGCCCTCCCTTGGCCGAGCAGATTCTCAGCGCCCTCGACTACCCGGACTGCAAAAACCTCGTCCACCGCGACGTTAAGCCTGCCAATATCCTGTTCCAGGGCTTGTCTGGCGGCAAATACATGTTCCAGCTTGCCGATTTCGGGCTTGTCGGACACAGGAGCCAGGTGGCCATTGGCGCGAGCACGAAGGAGTACATGGCCCCGGAGGTCGACATGGCGACCAACAACGCCCTGAGCCCAAGATCGACATGCGGTCCTTCTGCGCGACGATGCTCAACGTCCTCTGCAAATTCCCGCCCGCCGACAAGTCACGGGCGGTGCTCACAAAGACCCTGGAGACCGAGGCCAGCCACCATCCACTCCTGGCGCGCATTGGGAAACGGCTCCCCGAGCAGCGCGCGTCCGCCGCCCAGCTCCTCGTCGTCTACTTCAGCTCGCGGGGCCTGACCTCGAGCGCGCCCGCGACCCCCGCTCTTCAGCCGTTCGTCCGCGACGTCCAGGCGGCGGCGGCGGCGGCGCTGCCCACGGCCCCTTCCATCCCCGAGCTCACCATGGCCTCCGCCTCGGCGGTGCTGTCGCCGCCCGTCCCGGCGCCCTTCGACCCCAGCCAGCCCAGGCTCCTCGGCACCCTCCAAATCGGCGCGTCGCTGGCACGGTCGCGCACGCGGTTCCAGCCCGGCGGCGGCGCGAAGCGCATAGAGCCGCGGCCGGGCGCCGACGACGGACGGCCCAGGAGCCGCAAGCGGGGCGGCGGCTCGCGCGTGTGGAGCAACATCGGGCCGGACTGGGTCGGGCGCGACGGGGGTCGCCAAGCGCCGCCACGTCGACGAAGCGAGAGATGTCGCCGCCGCCCGCAGGCGGGGGCTGAGGATGGTCGCGGCCGCGAAGAAGTTCTTCACGGTTGACCAAGAGGTCGAAAGTAGCTACGTGCACGTGTCGCGTGGCTAGCGGCGAAGCGGGGCAGACGAGTGTGTAAGAGGGGGGTTGGGTTGGTAGCAGGGTTTATTTTTGGTTGGTCGGTGTTATCGCCTTGGGGTTGGGCGGGCGTATGGGACGTATTTCGTGGATATATCCTGGTGATAGTTGGATTGCTTTGCTCCTCCTCAATTCTGTTTCACCACCTAGGTTGATTTTGCAAATAAATTCTACTTTGTTTGTACTCCGGGCTCCTCCAGTATCTTCCGCAGCACGAGATCTCTTCCCTCCTCCAAGCTCTTGCTAGAATCCACCACAATAACCCTATCCGACGCCAAAGGACGACACGGCTCGTCGATCCACCTCCTGAACAGCGCGCGCGAGTCCTCGCCTGCCCTCGCCCCGGCCGCGGCGGCAGGCGGCTCGTCGACGGCGGTGCGCTGGCTGGGCAGGGGCCGCTCCCTGGCGCGCAGGCGGCGGTCCAGCAGGTCGACGTCGGCGACCCTGCACTCGACGTACCAGTAGGCGAGCCCGTGGCGCGCGGCCAGCCCGGAGCCGCGGTCGACCACCTCGCGCGAGTTGCAGGTGCTGTCGACGATGACGGCGGGCAGCCGCAGCGGCCCCTGCTGCCCCGCGGCCGAGCCGGCGAGCGCCCACTGCAGGTCGTAGGCCATCCGGGCCACGTGGTCGAACGTCAGCAGGCCGTCCGAGGAGCCGAGCAGGGACGACCGGAGCACGTCGTGGTCGATGACCAGGCCGCCAGTCGACTGCTGCAGGAGCCGGGCCATGGAGCTTTTGCCGGCGCCGGGGGCGCCCGACATTTGGATGAAGACCCTGGGGCGGGTGGCTGTTTGATCGTCTTCAGGCATTGGGCTCGTAGGTTAGTGGTGAATGTTGTGAGTTGAGGTGTGCAAATTGCTTGCTGGCCCAAGGACGAGAGATATGTGGGGGAAATGTCATCTGGCGCCAACAGCCATTTCCCCTCTCGTGATTTCGCAGCCGGCAAGAACATAGACTCGCTATGATTACCGCGCAGACATCTCACAGCTACAACTCACAGCAGGGGCCCGAGCGAGTACACAAAAACCAACACAAGAGAGTCAAAAGGTCTTGAGCAACGCTGTCTTCAATAGGGTTCTGCTCTTGGGCAACAAGATATCGCTAAGTCGTTGGCAGTAATGAGAGAGGTGATTTCAAGGCACGCGAGAGCTTGCGCATATGGTCATGGAAGATATTGATCAAGATACATGGGTGTTGGGCCAGCAATTTACAAAAGCTTCGTTTTTATATTCTACCATACGCCAGAGGGAAGCGCCCAGCAGATAGCAGAGACTCATTCTAGCGTGGCAGACGATTGCTGTCCAGGATGCATGGCACGCCAAAATTTCCTCTCGAATATGTTCTAACTACTGATCAAAGAATGTACCATGCGTTTGGGTCTTCGGAAGCACCGAGGGCATTTTCGAATGACGTTGATGTGGCGAAGAGAGACCACACCACAAAGACATGGGGCTCCTAGAATGATCTCCAAGGACCGGTTCTATAAATACCGTGTGCCATGGAGAGGTCTCGGTCTCGGAATGGCTGCCACGTGAGGGAAGGGTGTCCTTGAGCGAACCTGCATAGCAAAGCAATCGAAATGATGGACGGCCAGGACAACTCGCCAATCTGCCATAGGCCATAGCCACCTGCGACTAGTAGAGCTTGGATCCTGGGCGAACACCGAAAAGCCACACGCAAGGCGGCCCTGACTCAGGAAGCTCCCAAGACATTCCAGAAGAAGGATAAGGCGTCTTGAAGGAGCTGGTATCCCCGCATCAGGAACATGGTTCCCCTCTCTATGAGACCTGAGCTTGCCGCACCAGCAGGAGGACATGAGAGCAATACCACTCGGCAAACACCACACATTATATACTTTAGTTGTTACCAAGCCTGTAGCGGTGTGATGGGAGTCTCGGAAAGTAGTCGTCACTTCACCTCTGCCTTTCTGGTGCCTGCAGGTATGCATGTCATTGCGGCACGGCACAAGGCAGAGGCCACGCTAGCGTCCTAAACCCCTTGAAGCCATCGTAGCCGAGCTGTCCGAAACAGTTGACGGAGGAGCATCTTGGGTGCTGTGGGAGGAGCGTGGCTGGTGAGCAGGATAGGTACGATCCTGCGAAACCGGGGAAACCTAGATAGGCAGGTCGTCCGTCCGACATGGCCAAAGCCCTCCAAGAGGCGCGCACTAGCGAGCCAAAGATCCTTCGGTACCAAATGTTCGGACCGGCCTTGGATCTCAGGCGAGGGGTGCCCCCTATGCAGGTGCGAGGTGGGGAGGGTAAGCAGCATGCCTGGCTGTAGGTCTGGCCTCGCACCGCCCAGACAGCCCAGCGCACGGATAACGGCCGGAACGCATCTGGCAGAGGCCATTAGGAGGGGCGGGCCTCGGTCAGACGCAAAACAGGGGACCGGCAGGACCCGTGGCTTCTTTGTGAGGTCTGGCGTAGATTGTCGTCAAGCGGCAGCGGCCCGTTTTGCGTTATGGCGATATGGTCTGTGGGCGCGGCAGCGTCGATCGCCGATTCAGCAATAAGGCACGACAGCTTACTGTACCCAAGTATTATACCCAAGGGGCTGCCCACCACCGGACGGCACGGTCGACCTAGTGCTGGTGATGCGCGTGAGCAGGCGGAGACGATGCGAAGAAGCAGATGGAGATTACACAGCAGGTTGACAACGGCTCGACAGCAGGACGGCAAGGGCCGGCAGACGGCCAGGAAGTGCTGACTCGACTAGCAGTCTTGGACGCTCGCTGGCAATCAACTCTGGTCCAAGCCCAGACTAGGATGGTGGAAGTGGGCGAGTCAGGGGCACAGCGGCCCGGTGAAGCAGGGGTTGGCTTCCAGACCGCTGCCCAGAAAGGCTGGCCACTCCACTGGGAACCACTGGGAACCACTTGGGAGCGGGTCTTTGGCTGACAACAAAATCACTCATCAGTGGTGGTGAACCAAACGGTCAGTATGTCACATGACTCTCCTTTTCGTCGATCGTCCTCAGCCATCTTACGTCAGCCTGTCGTCAAACACAGAAACGGCCCGCAAACGGTGTGACTGGGTCATGTTTTGCTTGCAGCCACGATTGCGCATGCCGCTGTCGATTATCTGTTTGGCAGCCAATAGCCGCGAATCCTCATTCCCTCGTGTCTCGCTTGCTGTAGTTGCCGCCATCCCGAGCGTGGTGGCGCTTGAGCCTCTGGGGGCCGTGGGCTAGCCGAACGAGACGCGAACGAGGCGCTCGAGCCGGTGCGGGAAACGACTTTCGGGCTGAAGAGAAATAGCAAGACACTCGGACAAACAGGTCGGGCCCTGAGCCGCTTGAACATCTTGTCAGCGAGGGCGATTTGGCAGTCGCATCCCTCCCAATAGCCAGGAACCGCCACGGCGTCGCAGCGGGGGCAGACACTGAGCCGTGTGTCATCTGGCCTTGTGCAGCCAATAGAGACCTAGATACGCAGAAGGTTTGCGAGAGACGAAAGGGAAGCAAACAGCACCCTCCCGACGGCTAGTGGCGTCCAGTCAGGCGCGCCCTTGTGCCCTTGCGCCTATTCTCCTCGTGCTACATCGCTTCTTACTAACCAACATGGCACAGTCAGGAGCAGGGCCAAAGAGGGTGCGAGGGGCCAAGCTTTCACCTTGTGGTTGTCCAAAGGCTCTGCATTCTGCCAACCTGTCTCGGATATTGGCTGCTGTCGGTTGAGTGGTGCCTGCACTTGTATCACCTTGGCTGCTGGCTGGCTGGCTCGACCTTCTGGCGCTTCTAGCGCTGTTGTAAAATAGGGTCCGACGCCACCAAAACAATCAGCTCGTGAAGAAACATGAAGCGCATCTCTGTACGCACAGGCGCGCGTATTTCGTCTTGATGCATGTAGTCGAGCCGATTGGATTGAAGACTCAAATTCGTCGTTTTATTCGGCAGGGGTTTGCTTTCCATGTCGCCCGTTTCGTAGTGGCGGGAGCAAGCGAGATCAGGTCTCGTGCTAGAGAAACGGTTCTGCGGGTATCAGGTGGGGTTGCGTGGCCATTCCCCGCCACGACACCTTCCGTTTTGCACTTCCCTATGAGGCTTAGCGCAGGATGGAGGGTGTTCCCTCCTCTTGTCTGACGACAAACTATAGCACACAGCTCTCGGCAGTGCCGACCTCATTGGCCGTCTTGTTCGTCAGCAAACCACCCCCTGCGTGCTCTATCCCAGATCTCCGACCCCGCGCCAAGCTGGCTTATTGGTGTGCTGGGCTGATCTCTTTGGGAAATGGGCAATCAGCCAACGCTGTCCAGGCGCTATCCAGGGCGCTGGTATGCAGTTCGCCGCCCGCTTCCCACCCACGATGCCGGCCTGCCGTTGCTGGATCTGGCGCTGGCGCTGGCGCTGGTGCTGATGCTGGGGCTGCCTCACCAACCCAAGCCAAGGCTGCGAGGGGTGTTGCGTACAGCACATGCAGTATGCAGCATGTCCTGTGAGCGCTCGCCCAGGTCCTTTTGTCCATCCACCCCTACCTCCCCATCCATCATCCGCCACCTACTGCGTGCTGCGTCTATGTTGGGCCTCCTTCCAGCCAGCCGGCCGGCCAGCCAGATCGTCCATGCCATCCATGTTCTGTGCTGTGCCCCAGGGCGATGTCTTTTGCTCTTGGCCTCGCCAGCCTCCCATGCTTTCTCTTCCATCCCTGCTCATGAAAGCGCACAGGCATCTGCGACTGATGGCGCCCCTTGCTCACCCACGTTCCCCCCGTCGTCAGCAGCAGTCTCTTCACACCCCTTCGTCTTTTTCGGGCTAGATCGGCCTCTCTTCTCCCCGCTCCTGTGAAAACCGTCCTTTGTTCTTGTTGCACATTCTCTCTTACCCCGGTCGCCTGCATTACAGAAGACCCTTTGTTACCCTGGCCAGGGTGGACCGCCGCTATCGCCGGCCTGCCTCCTGCGCCAACAAAATGAGGCACGGCGCCGCACCCTCACGCCGCACACCACCTTTCTCGCCATGTCTGCCCGCTCGGTGCCGTGAGAATCTACCAGCAACCCGCGCCGTGTATCGCCAATGGTATAAACCAACAACCGAGGACGTCGCCCCAGGGAGGAAAAGGAACTGGATGGACATGCTCGATCGCCAACACTCTCTCTTCCCGCCGGTGCCGGCTCCTGGACAACTCCCAGCAAACACCTTGCACCCCTCTGCCTACCGTCCCGACGGCCCCATCTTGGGCAGAAAGACATTCGGGATTATCCCATAATAACTGCCTTTACGGCCAACACCCAGTCAACCTTTGCTCACACTCGGAGCTTCCGACTCTGCTTTTCTGCCACCACGATACGGCACCCCTTATACGGCCCACACGAATAGTATATCTACCGCGGCCTCCCACCTCGCTGCTCTTGAATCAGGGCCTGCCACGGCGGCTCCCCAACGTCACAAGCCCAGCTTCCACGACGCCAGGATGAGTTCCCCCGAGGACATCAGGCGGAACCAGCTGGATCAGTTCAGCATCATCGAACGCGTCTGTTCGGTGTTCTCGCTGCTGGGATGCGTCTTCATCATCGCCACCTTCTGCGCCAGGAGGTCCTTCCACAAGCCCATCAACCGCCTTGTCTTCTACGCCTCGTTCGGCAACATGATGAGCAACGTCGGCACTCTGATGGCGCGGACATTTGTCGACGACAGCACCTCGCCCGGCTGCCAGTTCCAGGCGTTCCTGATTCAGATGTGGGTGACCCAGATCTACGGACCCTGCGACCGCATGCTGACGTCGTAAACACCAGGTTCCTACCCGCAGACACCTTCTGGACGCTGGCCATGGCCGTCAACGTTTACCTCACCTTCTACCACAAGTTTGATGCCGCCAAACTGCGCCGGATGGAGCTGCCCTACCTGTGTATCTGCTACGGGGTCCCTTTCATCGTTGCCTTGACCTACATCTTTATCAATAGCCCGCGGCGTGGGAGGATGTACGGAGACGCCACGCTTTGGTGCTGGATCAGCCCCAAGTGGGATATTTGGCGCATCACCACCTTTTACGCCCCCATCTGGGTCATCATCCTAATCACCTTTTTCATCTACATCCGCGCCGGAGGCGAGATATACCGCAAGCACAAGCAGCTTCGCAACTTCCAGTCCAGCAGCAACAACCGCGACCCGGAGCCTCTTCCGCCGATGGACGACCCCTACTTGGCAAACAAGACGACTGAGATTTTCGTCACCTCCGAGGTGGCCAGCAACACTCCGGGTTCCATCGACCTTTCTCCCCTCGGCCGCCGGCCCCCCGCAGCCGCCGTCCTGCCGCCAAACAATGCGCCGCCGGCCGGGGCGTACTCGGTCACCATCTCGTCCCGCGCCAGGATGAGCGTCGGGGAGGACGACATGTCCATCAAGCCGGCCGACGTGCTCCCCATCGCGCACCAGCGACCGGTCACGTCGTCGGCCACGGCCGCCGGCGGCGCCCCAGGTGGCAGCCCCCTCGGCGCCCGGCGCAAGACCAGCCATGAGGCCAACAACGCGGCCTGGTCGTACACCAAGTGCGCCATCCTCTTCTTCACGGCGATGCTGGTGACGTGGATCCCGTCGAGCGCCAACCGGGTCTACTCGGTCATACACGTCAACGAGATGAACCTGACGCTCGAGTACATGAGCGCCTTCGTGCTGCCGCTGCAGGGGTTCTGGAACGCCGTCATCTACGTCGTGACGTCGTGGTCCGCCTGCACCCTGCTGTGGCACGACCTCTTCCTCTCGCGCAGGCCCGTCACGGAGCTCATCGGCCAGGGCGGCGTCAGGGTCTCGTCGTACCAGCCCGGGAGCGCCAGCCAGAACCGACGGCAGACCATGGGGGCGGCCGCGGCCGGCGACTTTGGCTCGGCGCGCAGGCCGAGCGCGGCCATGGCTGCCGGGGGCAGCAGCCGCCCGCACGCCGGCTACGACAAGGGCTACGACAAGAACTACGAGACAGAGAGTATGACGGAGCTCACCGGCAGGCCCTCGACGACGGAGCCGCCCCTGGAGAGGAAACCACACAACGCCCTATGACGGGGGGGGTCTCCTTTTTCTATGACGATCACGACCAGATATATGCTTTAGTGTCCTTGTATCATCTCCTATATGTAATGACGGGGCAATTGTTGTATATCCATTGCAAGCGACTTTCCTGTCCGTCCATTTAATCTATTCATATGATACTCTCCTGTTGCTCTTTCTCTTCTGCAAGCATTTTACATGATATCTGCATCCGTACTAGCCTCCCGTCGTTCGCCTGTATCGTGATGGCCGGCCCGAGGCCATGACTTGGCACCGGCGCAAGCCACCAGGGACGCCACTGAAAACGTGGGCAAGGTAATTAGCCCGACTGGGAAATGAAGCGTGACGATCAACGTTGTGCTCCTTGCCCTTTATTACCAGCAAACCCTTCCGGGGCGAAGCAGTCGGGACGCGAACGCGGCCACACAGAGACAGACACAAGACACAGACGCCATCTGCTCCCGCCATCCACGACCTCGCTGGCGCCGGCACTTGTCGAGTAGACCGAGCATCCCGAACGATGGGACACGAGGGGGATCGACTGCCTGACTCCCCATCATCGACAACTTGGCAGGAACCGACAAGCAGACAAAAGCTCTCAACTATGCAGTGTGTAGGCCTTCACCGTCCGTGCTTCCTTTCTTCCCAGGGCATCCTGTAGGAATCCTTGCCGGCAGTAGAGGTTGGGTGACTTGGGTGCGTGGACGCAGCGAGCTCGGGAAGCGGCAAGCGGCTCGTTAGACGGGCGGCAGGGTGGGTTCTTCATTTACGCTTCCTTTTTTCATGTCGATCCGACTGCGTCGCTCCCTCATTTCTCCTACTTTTCTTTTGCGAATCCTCATGATTGTGGCCTGCCCCTCCCCTTGGCCCCACGGGCTCTCCTGCAGATCTTCGCTTTTGCTTCCACCTTTTTTTTCTTCTTCCCCCATCAAAATCTTGGTGTCTTACGATTCCTAGGGCTGGAACTACCCGGCTGGCAAAGCGAAATTCTTTCGGCATTGCTTCTCGACGGGAAGCGCCGTCCACCGTGTCTAGCTTGGCTTTGACCCGTCCCGTTGTCGGTTGCGAGGTGACTAACGATATCCTCCAGCGCTTTATCCACCGACTTTCATTGCGATTCCTTTTCACGGCCTCGATCCACCCGCGGATCTCCCTCGGCTGTCGCGATCCACGCCGCCCGCGTGAGGGACCTTTTGGGGGTTGGCTGTTTGGAAATGACCCGAGAAAAAAATCCCAACAGACCACGGCGCGCGCGACCTGAGCCTTCACACGGAGCCAATTCCAAGGATCCAAAGGGTCATGCTCTACGCCGCGCACACGGCAGAGCAGTGGCCAACTAGAGCTCCAACGGCCACCTGAACGTCGTGGGTCGAGAAAGAGCGGTGGTAGCTCCCACTATTGGACCGGAAACGTCCCTCCCCCCACGGCCGATGCTACTCCTCGCTTGAGCGGCGAATGGGACAAACAAGATTGGCTTACAGCTACTTCTTGGCCGCCCCCCGAATGCCACTCTGCCTGCAGCAGAGTCCGATATGCGAAAATTCGCTTCCGTGCCGTGGGGATGCGTGATTTATTGGGGGAGGATCCCCCCTTCTTCGTTTCCTCGGCTGCCACCCCTATTCGCCATCCCAATAGGATGGTCCTGCCGCCCACCCTGAAGCTCCCCCGCGCAGCTCTTTCCTTTGCAACCCTAGGGTGCGTGCGTATAGTATGTGCGTTATGCTCCTTCGTCCATCTGATACCTAGGCACGACAGGGTCGGCTGGTTGCTCCTCTAGGGTTCGGGCTGGCTTCGTCCTTGGACGAGAAAGCCTCGCGTTTTTGGACCGCAGGGAGAGCCAGATTCCGGTCCCGCGGCTCCAGAACTGCAGGGATGAAGAAAGTTGGAAGTGATGCAAGATTGGAAGCGAAAAGAACAACGAAGCACAGTTCACAGAGGTCCATGACCATGCCCAACCACCGAGCGATCCTGGCAGCGAAAACGTAATGTGTAGCCTCATATAATGTTTACATAATATAGGTTCAATGCGGATAAGAGCTACGAGAAATACGGGCAAGTTGCCTAGGATACCCTAGCATCGTCGCCACCCATGATCATCCACCCCTAGCTGCCTCCTCCCCAAGAAAAATAAAGAGCAGACGGGGTGACAGGACACATGCCGCCAACCCAACGCTGGGCCCGGAACCAACAAGCCCGTACAGTAGTTCCCCCGACCCTGCATCTCAAGTCCATCAAACTCGCGAGGCCGCCCTCTCGGTGTAAATGTGGAGACTCCCTGGGGAAAGAGAGCCCGTCGGCCCCACAGCTTGTCCCCAAGCCTGATGCCGGTTAATGCCATGTGGCAGGCGAACAGGAAAAACTCCGCAGCCGCCACCCCTGCTCCGTTTTTTTTTTTTCTTTTTTTTTTTTGTTGTTGGTGCAGGGGGTGCAACAAAAGAAAACGGTGGCTCAATAGCGTCTGACTCACAAATCGACCAGCATCCCCTCGCTCCCAAAGAGGAGGCTGGCTTGCTTCCTGGCCCTGCGAATGGAACCCTCACTCGTGCCTTGCCTGCCCTCCCATCTCGTTCTTTCTCTCCTCCCCTTCCTCCCCTTCCTCCCCTCCCCTCTCGTCACCGTTCCGTTCCTTCTGCACAGAATTCATTTCCATTCCATTTCACAGCCCGTTCGAAACATTGTGCAACCTTCCCCTTTCGCCCAAGCGCCAGGCACCGTCGGTCCGGGCAAGGGTGGTGGTCTCCTTCCATTTTCCTTGGCCCACCTACTACCTCGGATTGTGACTGTGACATCTGACATCCACCCAGCTCCCCCAACCCAAGCCCTGCCGAGACAGACACCTGCTACCCACTCCACTCACAGCACCGACCAGACGGTCCGTCACCCCCTCTCTCCACACATCGAGAGAGAAACCTAGCCTGGCCGAGACGTCGACCTGTCGTTCGATTCTGCCCTAGCAAACCTACCAGTTAGGTTTGAGGCAAGCATTAGACAGACATGAAGAAAAGACGTGTCTCGCATCTCTCCTCGCTGCTCCTTTCCCGACAAAACCCCAAAGCATAAACAGGTATACAGAGGTCCGTCTTCTGGGTCTCGGGTATGAGCCTGCGCGATGGGCAGTACGGTTCTACGTTTCACCGTCAACGACCCCGTACCTAGACAAGGAGCAAAGACCCCTGTGTAGACAGACATTCGTATAGTGGTGCTTTAAGAGCATCATGCTCTTCCGCCTCCCACCATTGCTGCTTGAGGTGGTATTCGGTCCATCGCCCAGCCCTCCTGCAGCTCCTGACGAGCCGGTAGAATCCGAGGGCATCCGTGACATTGGACCGAGGTTCCTTCTTCGCGCCAGGGTGTCATTCAGTTTCCCAGCATTTAGTGTATTTGTAGGCACTGCATCTGACCATTTTCCAGCCAACCCCATTCCTTATTCTCTTCCTCGAGGCGCCGCCTCTCTCCTCCAGCGCACTCGGGCCGCTTGTACCGTTACCCCGTAGATGTACTTTCTGTAATCGGAAAAGGAGATGCCGTCGAGAGGCGCATTGGCAATGGTAGCCATCACGACTCTGGGGCGGCGTTGGAAAGGTTAGTGGCGAAAGGGCTATCTCTGGTGACGGCAGCAGCCGCATAAAGTGTACAGAGAAATCACGAATCCTTCTCGCGAAAGAACACGCAGGGAGCTTGGTTAGAAAGCAAGCGACAGCGAGCACAGGGTCGAGTGGATGGAAAGAAGGTACGCTCATCCCTTGCAGCCCTTTCGACGCCATCAACTTCCCTCTCCCCATCCCGCATCGCCAATGCGACGGACCTGATCGTCAGACACCCGAAGCTTCTCGCGAAAGCCAAGCAACATGTACGGCCACCGGGCCACAGACATAAGGAAGGATATTCCGCCACAGGAGCAACGAGGAGAATAGACAGTGCTGCGGTGGTGGGTGGCATGCCGCTATGATATCTTGAGTGGTGGCTTAGAAACCCCTTTTGTATCTGTTTCATGGTGATGGTTATGGGGGCGTCCAAGAATAAAGTGCGTCAATCTTATGCCTGTCATGGCCCTCCGCTCTCAGTCGACAAGTTGCGCTGACCGGAAGGAGCGTGTCGGTGGCGCAAAGCAGCTTTTTCTTTCCGAAGTTAACACGGCATGAGGAGAACTGGGGGTCAGGCGCCAAACACGATGCATCGAAAGCTTCACGACCAAGGCCTTTTTGTTGCAAAGCCAACGTCAGCCTCGTTTCCGCGGCTTTGGCTACGCTACTGGGCTATGTGACAGATATTACATACAGTAGTCTCCAAGAGCATCGTGCTCTTCCGTCTCACACTCACTCCTGCAACCAGTATTTGGTCCACCACCTAGCCCTTCCACGCCGCCCTAAATGCCGGTACTATCAGGACCCATTCGAGCGCAGCCTTTTTCCTCCACTCTCCACCGACCGTAGAATGATGCGAGATGGAGGAAAAGAAAGGGCGAACCACAAGAGGCCTGGGCTTTGGCTGGTTGACCCTAGACCTGAAAAAACAAAACTCCTCCTCGTACAGTAACACAATAAGACAGGACAACGTCGGCCAGAAGCGTAGGTATCTCGTACAACAGATCTGCATAGAAAAGACCGTGGGAATTAGGATTCGTATGCTCGATGCACAGCCGCCTCGAGTCAGATGGTAAAAGAAGGCGAGAAAAAAAAGGAAAATAAACCAGAAAAGAATTGCGTCCGGAAATCACCGAACCCCTTTGCTCGCCGTTCTCTTGGCAATCTCCATATCAAACATACCCCCTAGTTGGCGGCTGGATGTAAACCCGTCAGACTACCCAATGTCGCAGAGTGACCTTTGTGATGCGAATAGAAAGGGTTGGCGACGCATCTCTGGCGACAAGGATCGAAATGGCGAGATTATTGAGATGGCTGGGCACTCTCCTTGATACCCACGATTATCTCGTAGATCCAGTGAGTTCCCATCTCCTGGCACTCCTTGACGCAGAGCGGGTCATCCCACCACCAGTTGCTTCCAGTGATGTATTTACCCCAGACCTCACGCCAGAGCATTCGACCGACAACACTGCGTAGCTCTGTTCGGACCCGGATATCTGCCGCCTTGGCGCTGCTGAGGCTGCCTATACTGCTGGCCGTTCCATCGTCGGTCCCACACACAGAGGTAGAAGTGCTCGCTCCCGTGGCCCTGGCCAAAGTGGTTGTGGCGTGTGAAGTCGATGTTTCGTGAGCTGGCGGGATCGCGAAGAACTTGACCGTCGTAATTGTGCTGCAGGCACCACGCAGGTGAGCATCAGCCATCCAGCCAGGAACCAGCTTCCTTGGGTGGATGCATCGGAACTTGCGCTCCAGGTTCATCTGCAAGTTCTCCTCAAGCCAGAGCCGCATGCGGGGCCCTAGTGACTGGGGGACCGGCGCGGGATCGATAAGGGTAAGGTGTGCTGCGCCGCCGGGAGCCAGAGTGCGATGTATGGTCCGCAGCAGGGGAGGGATCTCCGAGGATGCTACCAGGGACGGGAGTGACAGGCAGTAGACGGCTGAAAACATGTCTGGGGCCACCGACAAGGAAGCGTGCGAGACAATCGGAAGGGCCGATGGGAGAACATTCGGGAAGAGATCGTTCGAAATCGGGGTCGGCGACATGTGGTAGATGAAGGAGTCGGCGTGGGCAGCAGCTAGGTATGATGCCGTAGCTGTTTGTGTTGTTAGCACTCGGGTTTCGTGCAGAATATTACCCTTGGCGAGCACCAGGCTTGCTCATGGTGAAGACTTACATTGGCTCTCAAAGAGCGCCAGGATCTTCATATCTTTGTCTTGAATGCCAGGTACCATGGCACTCTCCTCCTTCGAACCGTCAATGCCTGGCCGGTCCACGTTGTACATGGCTGACAGCATCCACCTCTGCTTCTCCATGACAGTCTCTTGATAAACCGCTGGGTCTTTCGAATCATCCCACTGCTCCTTCAGGCGCGTAAGGATAGTCTGTGGGGTCGCAGCCTCCATCATCTTCATCTCACGCTGCAAAGAGCCGAGATCCATTGAGAAGGAGGCTGATTTGCGAGTGTGTTGCTCTGTTCGGGTCTTCAGCATGGCATCCATCGAGGTCAGAGTTATGACTGGCTTCGGCGCCGGGCTGCAATCCCACGTATCGGGCGGCTTCCAAGAATCCGGGTGCTCGTTTTGGAAGACGGAGTCGGGGCTCGCCACGACAGGAATCCTGGGGCCTCTGGGGGTTGAAGGAATCTTATGTCTGGGCATAGGCAAAGGACCCAGCCCGAGTCGCGACTCCCTCAGCTGAGGAGACAGCGGCCGCGCCGTGTTGGGGATTGAAGATAGCCAGTTCTTGGTCTGAACAGACTTCGGTAGCTCAGTAGGTGGCGGTGAAGTCGCTCGCGGAACCGGACCAGGATCGGCACTGATAGTGACATCAGACATCAAGCGCTCCAAGTCCAGGCCAGGCGACCGAGGGGTACTAATGACCTCGGTTGTTTTGACGATGGAGGAGCCTGGGCCGAGAGTCTGAACCACCTTTGAGTTCGAATCCAGCGGGCGATGAGAGCCTCCGAAGACGGAGGCGGGAGTCACTGGGGGCGATGCCGTAGGCTGCCTATGAGGCTTCGAGAAGATCGAGTCTAAAGCAAGGCCCGGATTAGCCAGCTGCGCTTATAAGTGTAACACCAGAGCACATGCACTAACCTCGAGATCCCAGACCAAGTGAAGTCTCCGAAAACTCGTCCAAGGTCTGGGCGTATGACGGGCCATCATCCACAAATCGGACAGGGCGCTGGCGGCGGCTGCCCGAAGAGGAGACGTGCGAAAGCGGGGAGCCAAAAAATGAGTCTCGACGGCCAGCAGAGCCACTCGCGGCGCTGTCGGAGCGCAGGGCGGCTGGCCCAGCGGTCTCGTGTGACTGTACATCTTGATTGCCGGAGCCGTAATTCCCGAACACGCCCGGAAGCGGTGTGTCGACGCTTGCCGAGCTCGTTGATTGCGTCGATTTCTGAAGGAGGCGGTTTTCCTCCTTCCTTCTCCTGGTCTGCTCCGCATTCTTGCGGTTCTTCCTCTCGCCGACCGACTCCCTGTTCGGGTCGGTCCAGATTACCTCGAACATCACGAGAGTCGTGTCGAACAATGTGGGACAGATACGAGAGGAATAGCAGAATAGCTGCGCCAGACCGTCCTAACTGAAGTTGTCCCAGTGATCACCAGGAATGTTGGCGCGGCTGGCTAGCCGCTGAGGGATATCTGAGCTGCGAGGCACCGGCCGCGCAGTCGCAGATTCCTCGGAGATGTTGGGTGCCTTTTGGAGGCTCTGAGGAAACTGACGGGAGTGCTGATTGCGGTGGCTTAAGTAGTACGCGTGGCTGTTGGCGTCGTTGGTTGTATTTTTGTCGCGGGCAGTCGGAAGGGTAGGATCGGTGCGCAAATACTGACGGATAGAGCTTTGACGAGCGAGGTGAACCTCAGCCCTAGGGAGAAGGGACTCCCGCGCTGATGCGCGCTGGTGGTAGAAGGGTATCTAGATATGCTGTTATGGGTGGTGGTCTGGTGGGATATTGGGCAGTCCAAGGTCCCGCCGTGGACTTTGGAGAAACAAAGCGGGTAAGGCGAGGTGGCAAAAGATGGGGATGTCGCGGAAAGGTGGACTTGAATTGAGGAGGGACTACAAAATTTCAACAGCAGGGAAGATGGCCCAACGCCAAGGTGGGGATTCTGGTACCTGGTGCCTTCCTCGGCAGCAGGTTGGGTTGGGGAAGGCGCGAGGCAGATGTGAGACAGCTCTGATGGATGGGTGAGCCAGCATAGCCCAACGTCCACCAAAGACGACCAAGCATTGATGTCAGTCAGCAGCGTGGAGTGGGAACGAAGTCGAGCATGTCAAGACTAGCAAGGATCTTTGGCTACCCCTTGTGTGTGCTTTAGATTTCACTTCGATGCCAGACAAGCCATAGATGTTCCTGGAGCTGGGTTGCTCGCTGCTGACCCATGCAGTTCTTGGAGCCGCAAACTACGTTCCGGGTCGACGGGCACCGATCTGACTGGCTGGTAGAGCCTCCCCAGACCCCCTTATTGTGCAGCCGTCCAAACCCGGGCAGCAACGGATTCGCCAACACGGCGCGCACAAGAGCACGCCTGCCGGTCTGTTCTCCCGTCCTCCGTGTAAATCCGAAAGCATGCATGTCTTCTGGACGAAAACCTGCTCAGAATGGTCTCCATCCTGGCGCGGTGGTCGTTGCTTCATCACACTCACGTCCACAAGAAAATGTAGGAGCAACATCAATATTTGCATGTCTCGGTTCAGTTGCAGGAAGTGACGGCCAGGTGGGACCGCACTGGCGCACATCGGTCGTCGGTCCTACCGCGCGGCGATATGTAAGACGTGAAGACGAGCTATGGACCAGATAGTAACATGCTTCGTCCATCACTCGGTGCATCCAAATCCATGCTGCCGCCGCCCACGAGGTCATCCTTTTGCTGCTACCGTGTCCCACTGCACCAAGATTTCCGTATCTCCTCAGCTTTCAGGATAATGGCTCGTTTGTTCCCCCTTTTCCATGGTTAAATTTGAGGCACGAAGCGCCCAGTATCTCTAGTCGTCATATTCGATGCTTTCATATCGGTCTGTTTCTTTCGTTGGGATATTCTCTTGGAGGCTTGCCACTGCCTACGGCGCGGCATATATGGGCAAGATAGACACTTGCCTATCTACCTATCTAGGTACTTGGCTGTACTCTTCTTTGCAGAAAGGATGCGCCTGTCCTCCGCCAGACTTTCTCGGGGGACAGAAACAATCCCCGGGGAGATGGACGGGATATTTATATCTCGAGCTACATATTATATGCCGATGCTCGGGGAGAAATCAAGTGCAATAAGAGGCGAATATAATTCCATTCAGACGGCCGGCGCCCTCGACATAAAACCAGCGAGCACGACACTCCACACGAGGTCGTTGACTGGCAACTTTTTGGTTGCTGCGGCGCACCGCCGTTACAAAAGAGCCGCACAAGCCTCGACCCCACACTGCCGGGCTGGCAGACATGCATGCATCCATTGGCGGCGGCTGACGGCGCAGTGTGCAGCAACGCCACTGTCGGCCCATCCGTCGAGCCGCCACATGGAAGACACGCTCATGCGCCTCGCAGCCTGCCGCCCCTCCTTGCACCATCCCACATCCCAATCATGCAGCCGTCCATGCAAACGCGCGGGGATCAAAAGGTAACATGGACGCTCCTGAGCGGCATGGAGCTAACTGAGCTATCCCGGCCGAAACCTCGGTACATGCTCCGCCGCCAACCATGATATCCAGTGGGAGTACATGTCCGGGCTGGCCTCCCGGCCGCAGAGCTACCCGTTCTGTCACCGAGGTAAAATTTCACCCGTCCGTCTCGCTTAATTTGTTGGTGTTTATGGCCTCCTGGGGTCGGACGGCCCAGCAAAGGCCACAATTGGCAGCCCACATTGTGTACATGCGCACCTCCGACGAGCCACATCGTCCCGTTGTTGTGTCTCATCCCTCCAGGTCGCCAATTCTCGCCCGAATAGGAACTATACGCACGGACGTCTCCCTTTACATCTGGGTGTCTGGCTTGTAGATAATGTTGGGCAGGGTGCAGGGGCAAACGGTATGACCAATACAAATCATGTCCAGGTGAGTGTATAGCGAATGAGGCTCATCTCTGCCGCTCTTCGCTAGTAATACATATCTTAACGCTGGTGGAAGAAAAGCAGAAGGTGGCCGGAAAGTGCTCAGAGAAAGATGGCGCTTAGGATGCCATACACGGCGAACCGAACGACAGCCCCCGTGTAAATCATTCGCAAACGCTCACGACCTTCTGGTCCGGCCCTCAGGTAAATCCAGAGGCAGCTGAGGATCAAGGATGTTATTGGGACCAAGCCAAAGCCGGGATACCGCTTCCCGATGTGGTAGTCAAGGACTACCAGAATATCAGAGAAAGTCAAGTTGGTATTGTGCATTGGAGGCTGTTGTCCGCTTGTCCCTGCGTAGGCTCCAGCCGTAATCTCCGCCCTGGCCATCTAGGCGGGCTCGATCGGAACAAGAGAGAAGTTCCCCATCCCGACTAGTCGTCTATACTTGCCTACACTGGAGCTGCAGATTATATCTCCAAGGCGTATGGGTCGAGCGTGCGTGCAGCCGGTGAGGGAGGGATACGATGACAGGTGCTAGAAAGCGCCAACATGTCAGCCCTCTGATATCACGACATGGCAAAGGTGGTGGGGGATGTAAACACACCCGCCCAGGGACGCTCAGTGGTTGGTCTTTTGACCGATCGAACGGGCCGCACTGCGTTGCACACTTCAAACAAAGGTACCTGGCAGTAAGGGTGGTCCGTTGGCTACTTCCAAAGATACAGCTTGTAATGTAACGAATGCCCGCTGATATGCTTGTACGAGGCGAAGACAATTAGGATACTCGGCGATGTCTGTAAATACTTGGCTGTGGATCTAGGTTGGCTGCTTGCTGCTGGTATGGAGAATGGATGAGGTGTCCCCTGTCCGCCCTGCCTCTACTTGAGTTTTCCGTCACCTACCACTCACAGCAAGGCAAGCCCACCTTAGCAGACCCTTTCCATCGCCCGACTATCATTTTCGTCCGAATAGGGCTCGAGCACCTGCCGCAGCCTGACCCACCAGCCTTTTCTAGAGGCCCATTAATCCCATCTCTTCCAGCCCGGCGGAACAACACTTGTTGCGCTTTCTATTATAAAAACGCCTGACTTTTCGGTAGTGCAGTATCTGGTGTGGCGCAAAGAAAACAACCTAAAAGGGAAAGAGCAGTGGGAGGTGCTACCGACCAAACCAGGCCACCTGCCACCACGTCCCATCCCTCCCTCCCTCCCGTCTTTCTCTTCCCCTCAGATCCCACCCACCCAAGCAAACACTCCTTCCTCCAAGTGGCAGTGGACAGGGACTTTCGCCGCAGCCCGGCCCGATCCACCGTGGAATTGGACGTTGTCCTTCCAACCTCGACTCGCCACCCACCAACTCACTACTTCCCACCTTCTACTACCCACCGCTCAGAGCAGCTTGAATTTTGCACCTGCCCTTTGACGCCATTCCCACCTGCCTTCCTGCCAACGCCACTCTATGCCGCCCTGAACTGACCGGAGCTGCCGCCGCATCAACTATGAAGTTCAAAGAAAGCGTCAATGGCGCCGTCAATGGCATCCTTGACCGGCTCAAGAACGCCGTCAACCGCATCGACGACCGCGTAAATCAGTCCACCTTCGGACGCGTCTTCCGCCTCAAGGGCTCCGGCCATGTGAGTTTTCCCGCTGATTCCTCTGCCCCGGCCAAAGGCCAACAGTACCCGCTGCTGCTGCTGCGAGACCTGACAGCTGACAATCGGGGCAGGAGAACGAAATCCACGATGCCACCTTCTCGGCTGAGCTCCGCGCCGGGCTGACTACATTCGCCACCATGGTATACATCATCGCCGTCAACGTGAGTGCACCATCGCAAGCCTCTTCGTAAAGACGTGATGCTAAAACCAGCCATGACAGGCCCACATTCTCTCCGACACGGGTGCCAACTGTGTATGCAAGAACAAGAATGACCTCGGCCTCTGCTCCAACGAGGCCGAGTACGTAATGTGCCAGAATGGTGAGCCGCATCCGCTGTTCCCGACAAGCTGGGGGCGATAGGCTGACTAGTGTTGCTACTCCAACAGAGGTTCGGCGCGATCTTGTCACCGCCACCGCCGCCGTTGCGGGCTTCTCCAGCATCGTGTTTGGCTTCCTCACCAACCTTCCAGTCGCTTTGGCGTAAGTCTTTCCTGCAATATTGTTCCACCAGGAGAGCAAGTACCCAGCTAATGTCTCGCTTCACGCATCAAGTCCTGGAATGGGTCTCAATGCGTACTTCACCTACCAGGTCGTCGGTGTCCGGGGTTCTGGTGGCATCCCCTACGGCCTCGCCCTGACTGCAGTTTTTGTCGAGGGGTTCATATTCATCCTGCTCGCCATTACTGGCATGCGTCACTGGATGGTCAAGATTATCCCTGGAACCCTCAAAACCGCCTCGGGTGTCGGCATCGGGCTCTTTCTTACCCTCACTGGCATGTCCTACGGGAACGGCATTGGACTCGTCACCGGAAGCGTCTCGACGCCCCTCGCCATCGGCGGCTGCCCACCCGAGTACCTGATTCGCGGAGAATGCCCCAGGGACATTATGAAGAGTCACAAGGTAGGACGCGCGTGGATTACCAGCCCATCTAGAAATACTTGGAGTGTCGCACCTAACAAGTATTTCATAGATGTGGCTCGGAATTTTCGGCGGACTTCTCACAGCATGGCTAATGGCCTTTCGAGTTCGGTCGGCCATCATCATTGGCGTCGCGGCAGTGTCCATCCTTTCGTGGCCGTAAGTGACGAGATTTAGTGTCTCTCCAGAGCTCCAGGAAGCGTACTGACACATGACGACCACAGGCGCAACACCTCCATCTCCTATTTCCCTCACACCGAGGAGGGTGACTCACGGTTCGAGTTCTTCAGTCGCATTGTCGAGTTCCATCCCATCAAGCACACCCTCAGCGCCCAGGAGTGGGACCTCACCGGTAAGGGCGCTCGCTTCATGATTGCCTTGGTCACGTTCCTGTATGTGGACATTATCGACTGCACTGCCACCTTGTACTCGATGGCCCGATTCTGCGGCAAGGTTGACGAGAAGGACGGAGATTTCCCGCGCTCAACGCTGGCCTACTGCACCGATGCTGCCCTCATCTCGTTCGGCTCGCTGCTGGGATGTTCCCCAGTGACGGTGTTCGTGGAGAGTGGTGCCGGCATCGCTGAGGGAGGCCGGACCGGCCTCACAGCCATCACGACGGGGATCTGCTTCATTCTTGCCATCTTCTTTGCGCCCATCTTCGCGTCGATTCCCCCATGGGCCACCGGTTGCACTCTGATTCTAGTAAGTTCTTTCTTTGGACATCTCCACTATTACGCGGAGCACGCATGAAGGCCGAGCAATATACTTACTACGATACAGGTCGGCTGTTTGATGATCCGGCAAGTGACGTGCGTCAACTGGAGCTACATTGGTGATGCGCTCCCTTCGTTCGTCACCATTGCCCTCATCCCTTTCAGCTACAGCGTGGCATACGGCCTTATTGCGTAAGTGTCAAACCTTTGGTGCATAGCCTGAGTGGTGGCATTTGTTTACTGACATTACCATGCAGGGGAATCTTCACATACACTGTCCTCAACTCGCTGATCTGGCTCGTCATCTTTGTCAGCCGCGGAGAGCTGGAGCCCAAGGACTACGGCCGCAAGGAGTACTGGACGTGGAGGCCGGCGGGCAGAAAGCCTTGGCTGATCCGTCTTTTCACCAAGGGCCAGTACTGGGCCGAGGAGCGGCTTCACTCCAAGCGAGACGGTGAGGAGGAGCGCTCCATCCAGCACTCGCACCGATCGGCGGCGTCTTCCGAGGAGAAGGCAAACGAGGAGCAGGCAGCGGCATCGATGCCGCAACCCAGCACGGCGCGTCAGTAACCGTGAGGTGAGTCTTGACCAAGCAAGCACATTCCCGTGCGCCTGCTTGCTCATGGCACTTTCCCTCCTGACCTAAAACCACCAACACCCCAACGACTCGCGCTGTCTTTTAATTTCTGCGATGTGCACTTTGCTACTATTGGCATTTGTAAGACCTGGGCTATGGAGGATCTTCCATTTCTTCATGTGCTTGTCTCAAGTTAAGTATACTTATTTCATGTCACATTTGGCACAACATTTTGCGGTGGGATGGTGGTGCATAGAGAAACGGGAGTTTTTGGAGCGGGCACACAAAAAGTGTGGTAGGCCCAGTAGAAAGTAGAGTAGATGCCTGAATAGCGTACCAAGCGGGTAGAGACGACTTGGATGGCACAAAGAGGTTAACTACGTTGTGTTCTCATTGAGACTACCTACCTCTAGATGCCTGGAGAAGATATTATATGTCTTCAGTCGAAAGGTGCCGTCCCCATCGTTCTCGCTTCTCTACGTTGTGAGGCCCCACTCGCTTACACAGACCCACAGGAGCATTATCTTGTGTGCTTATCTTGCCTGGGTGCAGCTGGACCCCGCAGGCCAGGGCCCTGTCTGTCCCGCTTTGGTTCGGGACGACGACAGCGGGCCTGGGATTTTGCTTGATTCGACCGCTGTTTGTGCATCGCAACCGAATTTCTAGCGAACGCTCTTCAAGGCGCCCTCACTCCAGACGCCAATTCCCGCGCACGTATGACGTAACGAGCCTGCCTAACTCCATCTTCTTTCCAAAGCGCCTCGCCTCGACTAATGACTGACCTAGTTTGCGACTCCTCTAGGTAGAGTACACCGGCGCCGGACACGTACGCACGTACTTGGAGGTCGTCGTCATGAGTGGGGGCTGGAATACAAGTCAGTCTAATGTCTTCCCTAACACCTATGCTGATGTTGACCCAGAGCTAGAGCTGACCATGGCCATGACCTCTTTGCAGTCGAGTCCGATGCGGTATGCCCCCTCCCCGACCTCGACCACTGCCCGCCTGTTACGGCCAGCGAACCCGCTCGGCCACGAGCCAAAGCTCGGAGAGTCCAAGATGAGCAGTGACAGAAAAGGCTGATCAACTCGCGCGCACAGGGCGTCTTCACGTACCTGCTGGAGGAGCTCGGAGTCAGGGACGTGCAGTTTGAGGAGCTGATAAGCCTGGACCCGGACGACCTGGCCGAGCTGCACCCCGTCTACGGTGTCATCTTCCTCTTCAAGTACCCTACCAACACCCCATACACGGCGAGCGACAAGCCGCTGGACGGCGAGTTCGACCACGCCGCCGCAGAGCGCCTCTTCTTCGCCGCCCAGACCATCCAGAACGCGTGCGGCACCCAGGCCCTGCTGTCGGTGCTGCTCAACAAGGCCGACGATGGCGGCGATGACGACGACGGCAAGGAGCAGCGCATCGACATCGGCGCGGCGCTGCGCGACTTCCGCGACTTCACCATGCCGCTGCCCGCCGAGTTCCGCGGCGAGGCCCTGTCCAACTCGGAGCTGATCCGGGGCGTGCACAACAGCTTCGCGCGCTCGTCGCCCTTTGCCGACGAGACGCAGCGGGCGGGCGCCGACGACGACGCCGACGACGCCTTCCACTTTGTCGCCTACACGGCCGTCGGCGGCACCCTGTACGAGCTCGACGGCCTGCAGCCCGCGCCCATCAGCCACGGCCGTTGCGGCTCGGGCGGCGACGAGTTCGCCAACAAGGTCATGGAGGTGCTGCGGCGCCGCGTCGCGCGCTACGAGGCGTCCGAGATACGCTTCAACCTGCTCGCCATGGTGCGCGACCTGCGCATCCAGGCCGCCCAGCTGGACGACGACGAGGCCGCAGAGACGGAGCGCCGGAAGCGCCGGGCCTGGCGCATCGAGAACTCGCTCCGCCGCCACAACTTTGTCGGCTTCGCCGGCGAGGTGCTCAAGGGCGTTGTCAGGTCCAAGCTGGGCCAGGGCGGCGGCGACGACGACGCCGCCTACGACCGCTGGGTCGCCCAGGGCAAGCAGAAGATGCAGGCCAGGATAGAGGAGCGCAAGAAGGGAAGGGCCGGGGGTGGGGATACGGAGATGGAGGGTTGATGCTGACGCTGGGCGACGGGGTGGATTTTGATTTGACGCGGCGCTGGTCAGGGCTATTTCTCCAAGCAGCATGGCGGTTACCTCTTTTGCTCTACTCACCTCTAATACAGGCGCGCGATTCTGATGCAGCCCTGACCCTTTGTCCGACGGGAGCGAGGACCGAAAGCTCAGCGCAGTAGCTACCGTCCGGGGGCGGAGCGTGGCAGCTAGATGTGAAGACCAGAAGCTGAGCCCAGCATGTAACTGCCAGATGCTATTCACCGCGGCCTTGACTCCAAGTTGGGGATTCTCTGAGAAGTGACCGCCGCAGCTGACAAGCTACTAGCGCCTCGATATGGAAACATGCTAGCTAGATAAGTAGGTAGGTAGGTGGCTGCCGTCACCATTGCGCGTCCCATAGCGGCCCGAGGCTGAAGTCGCCAAGATGCGTCGTGGCGCGCCAGACGCATGCCAATGGCGTTCGATAGCTGGGAGCTGAAGGCGAGCTAGGGCGCTTCAGGTCTGTGGAGACGGGCCCAGGTTGGGTATCCCGACGGCTTGTTGTCATGCGTCCGTGTGTGCCTGCCTGGCATGTGGAAACTGCGGTCACACCTTGTCCGTCGCCCCCAAGGAGGACGGCTGTTGTCGTTATGGCAGAGGTTCACGACAGGACCCAGTCAGCGTGCTACTGATGCGTATCCGGCACGCTAGCCCTGACCGGGGGGAAGGAGGAGGCCAGCTTGTCGGTTCGACGGGATACGGGATTCGGCTGCCGAAATAGTGTGAGAAAACATGCGCGCGGTGGCGCCGTTTACGCTCAAGAGACGGTGCGCTGAGATTAATAAAAGGGAGAGGAACCCGTGTGTGTGTGTGTGTTAGCCCGGCTGTGGCGTCCTTGTAGCTGATGATGATGGACAGGGGGGTTGGTGGTGGGTGTGGAGAGGGTCAGGACATTGTGTCAGCTCTCGGCGTCGCTGGACGAGGTGTTGGAGGCAGAGGAGGGAGAGGGCGCTCTGGCCGAGTTTGGTGGTGCTTGCGCCGCTTCTGTCAAGGAAGAGAGGCGACGTAGGCAGTCCGACTCTTGTTTGATGAGAGTTTTTTTTTTTTTCTCGCTCTTGGGCATCACGAAAATCGCCTCATCGCCTCGAGACTCGCGACACCACAACCACAAGCGGCCCAGTCCCCTTGGTTGTTTGTTGCTTTGTTGATCTTTCTGCTTGCTGTCGTTTTACTTTTCTTCTTTCTTTCCTTCTCCCATTGTCTATTCGGCCCGCGCCATGAAGCCAGGCGCCACGGCTGTCGGGGATCGACAGCTAAGGCTCAACCCCCCTCCCCCTTGCAAGCCGGGGGAGGGGAAGTCGTCTGGGCTGAAACTCGGAATCCCAGGCGAGGGTTCTTGCGTCCTCAGCCGCAAGCTCGGCCTCGATAGTCGAGTCTCTTTTCGGAAAGAAAAAAACGGGGTAGTTTGTTCATCATGCGGGCGTCTGTTCGGACCGCGGCATGTGGGTTTCTTTGCCTTTCCATGGTCGTCCTTGTCGCTCGGGAGGTGGGAGATATAACGCTCGCCTCCCTCCGCTTTGTGGCCATTTCAGTGACAAGAAAGGTGCCCTGCCGTCCAGAGATCAGTATGGGTTTGACCCCAAAGACGAGGAGCCGACTACGCACCTCCCCCCGGCACGTCCAAAATCTCTGTGCAAAAGCGTCGATTGGGGGCACCCGACTCGGCCGATATGACCTCACGCACCCATCTTTCACGGAGCCTCGACGAACCCCCCGAAGACGGCCCACCAGGAACCAAACCGAGGACTATAGAGACTTGGCCCCGGCTGAAGCGAGGGAGAGAGAACGGTGGATGGAGACCTTGACATGCACCTGGGCGGTGGTCGGGGGAAAGTCGAGGGGGGAGGAGTGACAGGGCACACAATACGGTACCGACCCGAGTTCGCGGAACGAACAGCATCACGACCGACTCGCCGAATCAGACACAGGAAACAAGCCATCATCCGTGGCCTCGGCCGCTTTCTCCAAGACCATGGCGACAACATGCCACGCCGCACGAGCCCCCATGCAAAGCCACTACTAGCACGCCGAGCATCCCATCTCCGAACGACGAATGGATGACACGAGACCAGGCCGATGAAGCCGTCGAGGCCCTCCATCCCTCCCCCACCTCCGACTACCTTGACCGGATTATATCGTGGGAGAATGCAAGACGGCAAGCTGGCTAGGGGCTTACAGAACTTCCCCCTTCCCCTTGGCCAACAGCAGATGGAGACAAAGTGAGAGTCGACAGAGCCGAGCGTGAGCAGTCCTGGGTATGACCAGACTCTGCCCAAAGGCAATCTGAACAGCCTGGATCCAAGCAGCAAGTCACCGTCACCCAAGAACAGCGAGCGGCGGAGAAGTTCATTGGCATAAAGGATGCTTATTTGTTTCACACGCAATGTTTCTACAACAGGCGGAAGGGACAGACCAAGAAGAGAATAACAATAACACAACCTTCTTATAGACCCCAACGTCCATACCACGAGGCGCCGCCCGCGCTGCGCCGACCGACCGTCCACATAACCAAGACCAGGCCTAATCAAGAAATGTTGGCAGAGATCAACAAAAGGCAGGAAAGATTCTTGGAGCCAAAGAAGGACAAAGGGAACAGAAACGAGGATGCAAGAAGAGATCTTTCTTTTTTATATTACTTCAGTAAGACACCGCAATGCGTCATCTGCTCGAAAGGCAGAATATAAACGAAAAAGACAGAAAAAGAAGGAGGGTTGGAAAAAATACAGAAGCAAAAACCAAGGGTATCGTGACGCCGCAACCGGCGGCAAGGTTCAATCCGTTACAAGAGATAAAATCCAGAGACATGACAAGGCGTAAGAAAACAAGCCCTCATCCAAAGAGTGTAATATGTTGGAAATGGACAAGAGGGGGGAAAAGATCAAAACGAAAAACAAAAACCCTTCACCGCGCCTAGTACATGCCCACTCTCTACGCCATTAATTTTATTTCCCGGGGTATTGGCCAAAGCTTGCCGTCATAAAAGTCGTGAAAATGTTTGTGTTTGAGAGAGTGTGTGTGTGTGGAACAGAGAGACAAGTTGCCTCAGCCCATTATTGACCAGCAGCGTGAAGCTGACGGCGCTGCTCCTCGGTCAGGTCGTCCGAGATCCAGGGTCCCTTCTCCTCATCTGTGGCGTCGAGGAAGCCCTGGGCGCGGCGCATGGTCTGGATGTCGAGGTCGGTAACGTAGGCCTTCTCGTCCTGGAGCTTGATGCGCACCTCGTGCTCCGTCGACAGCATCATGTCGTCCTTGGCCAGGCGGCGCGGACCGTCAAAGACGGTCATGACGCGCTTCTTCATGGTCATCTGGCCCTTGTCGAACCCCCACGACGTCGGGTAGTCGCGCCGGCTCTTGCGGCCCTTGGCCTGCTTGATGTGCGCCGGCCCGTTGCGTGAGTGCGTCATGCCACGCGACTTTTGCACACCGTTGGCGGGGTTGCCGCCCTTCTTCTTGGAGGGCGAGGCGGTGGACTTGCCGCCGGCGCGGACGCGGGACTCGTCCTCGCACTCCTCTTCGTACATCTCCTCGTCGTCGTCATCGCTAAAGGGCGACGTCATGGTGGCCGTCGGCAGCTGGTTCTTCTCCAGCGTCGCGTGCACCTCGCGGTCCTCGGCAACCTCGGCCAGCCTCTTGGCGTTGATGGCCTCGGCCGGGTCCTCCTGCTGCACGATGCGGAGAACGCAGTCGTCCAGATGCTCGTAGAAGTCCTGGGCGTTGGAGAATGTGGCAGAGCAGGTGCTGCACTTTCCCGTGGCGTCGGGGGCGTAGCCCGTCAGCTTCTTGGATGCGCCCGCGGCGGCGGCCGCCTTCTTACGGCTGTTGGGAGGCGTCTGCTCGACGCCGTGCACGGCAGTCAGGTGGCGCTTGAAGACGTCTGCGCGGTTGAACGACTTCTCGGCCGCCGACCCCGATCCAGGGCAGAAACCGCACACCATGGTGCCCTTGTAGTGCGTCAGAGTGTGCCTGTTCTTGTCGTACTTGCGTGCGAACCCCTTGACGTGGTAGTCGCAAGTCTGGATCGGGCACTTCTCCGGGCGTTCCTCTTGATGAGTGAGCATGTGCGCCTTGAGATCCTTGAACTTCCTGCCGCACTCAGGATGCGGGCATCGCTGCTTCTCCTTGCTGGTCTCGCCGTCGCTGTTGTGCGGCTCCGCCGAGTATCCCGAGGTGAAAGAATGCAGGCTCTGTCTCCGCGGCTCGGGGGGTGCGGCGAACTGGCCATGCGGGTAGTAATTATGATTAGGGACGAAGGGCGATGTGCTGCCGTTGCGGACGTTGGGAGAGCCCGTCAGGGCGGGCGAGACGGGATATGCTGATGGTGGGGGTGCGGGATATGCCGACTCGAAAGTGGGGATTTCGAGGGGGCGGGTGATGCCGGGATGAATGAGAGAGGGATCTGCTTGAATACCCAGGTCTGGTTAGCAAGTTAGGCTTAAATCGTACCTTTCTATACCTGGCGGTGTGACAAGGGAAACGAACAAGAAGAGCCCAGAGGGGCGACGAAGTGACCACTGCTTTGAGAAAAGAAAGGAGGAACATGACGATGAACCGGCGGACGCGCGCCAGGGCTCAGCTCCTCTGGAGCACACGATGGACTGCTCCAAGCCAGCGGCGGAGATGATAGAGAAGACGCAGACGTAAGAGGAGAAAAGAAAGCAACGCTCGATTTTGGCGAGGAACAAGGGGAAAGAGTCGGTGACGGCTGCGTGTCGATGGCCAGCCGGCTTGGTGTGCCTTGTCGCTGTTGCGCAAAAGAGTCCAGGGGCTCCGGCTCGACAGCAGATGGAGGAACAGAAGAGGAGACTGGGTCATCATGACGATGCCGCGGGAAAACAGGAGAATCTTGACGTGACCATCTAGGAACCTCTGGTAACTCACCCACAAAGCCTGGCGGCTTGCTGTGCTGCTGGGCGTACTCGAAAGCGGCGCTGAACTCGTCCATGCTGGGCGCGGGGGCGAACGAGTACTCTGCGCCAGGCGCGAAGTAGTCGCTCTGGCCCACGATGCCGGGCAGGGCATGGGCGCCGGCCCACTCAGGGACGGGTTGGTGGGCGGAGCGCGGCGAGCCGTGTGCCGACGAGGGCGCGGATCCGTTGGAGGCAATGGACAGGTTGGACGAGGGTAACCTCATCTCGCCGTCGTCGGCGTACATGGCGGGTGACATCAGGCCGTTGGGCTTGGCAAAGACGCCGTAGGGAGTCTCTGTGTACAGGGCACTGGCGTCGAAGTGCATAGTGGTGGGGTACTCCTGGGCCGAAACCCTTGGGTAATAGGCGTCGGGCGAAACGTTCATCTCCAGGGGCGCCGAGCCGAAGGCGCCTTGCGGAGGCTCTGGGTACAGCATGTTGTAATCCTCGGGGTCGCTGCTGAGGTGTCTGGAGGGCATCACGAATGGCGAGTGAGGACTGGCGGGGACCGTTACAGGTCGCGCGTCAGTCTATGGGTGTGTGTTGGTCGAGGGTTGGAGGATTTGCAGAGGGCTCCGAATCCTTCTCCCACTCTGCAATCTCTCGGCTGGTGTTCTGTGTGTGCTGTCCCCTTATGCGTATGTGGTAATCCCGTGTTCCGACTAACACCAGGCAGGCTGAGGCGTGGTGTTGGATGTAGTTGCTGTGATGAAGAGGCGGGATGTTCAAACGAGGGACAGGACGAGAGAGAAAGGATGGTCTCCCTCTTAAGTATCTTGCTGTTGAGTGGTGGTCTGAGAGTGAAGTGTCGTGATGATCGACTAGAGGGGGAGCAGAGGGTTATGGACGTGGTGGGCGACGAAGGATGCTATATAGACGCGATGGGCCTTGTGTGGTCCTAAGCAACCCCCGGCGAGGAAGGCGGAGGTGCTTGGGGTGTGGTAGGGTAGGCAGAGGGCGCGGTGTGTGCATTGCATGGCAGGTACACTGGTACTTGGCTAGGTACCTACGTGTGGGCACTTCATCTGGCAGGGGGACCAGGGGGTGGTCCAGGGGATCTGCTCCCAAGCCCAGGGAAGGGTACCGACTCCGGCAAGCCCCAGGACTGCGCTCCCGCCTCTCCCACCCACTTTGGCGGTCCTGGCCTGTGCTCCACTCGAGGCCGGCCTTGCCCACGCCCACCCTAGGACTTGACTTGTCTGCCCTCCCCTGGTGGAGAGGGGAGGGGTGGGATGCTAGAGGAGAGGACCAGCCGGCGCCAGATGAGAGGGGTCAGAGAGGGCGAAAGGCTCAAAACTGCGAAGAGCACCTCTCCGCGGAGGGCTGGAGGCAGGGGGAAGGGGGTGAGAGGAGAAAAAAAGAAGAAAGAAAAAAAAAACAAGAAGCGAGAGAGAGAGACAGAGTGGAGGGGAAAATGGCCAGGGCGACGCCAAGCAAGCCTCAAGGGCGTGGATGGTGAAAAAGGCAGGAGGGGCGTGTGATGTTCGGTTGGAAGAAGGTCAGGGCAAGGGTGACCGAAGAGTGGGTGACCCAAGGGGTGGTGGATGGGGGAGTCGACTTTCGTCGATTGAGTGAAGCGCGAACGGGACCCACCCCTGGGAAAAGTGGTGTGTGTCTGCCTGGGGTGGGGTGTGGGTGCTGGAAAGCGGGCGGTGGAGGAGGGCAGAGCCTAGCTGCAGAGGCAGGCACGCTGCAGCACAGCACAAGCAGAGGAGCAGAGCAGCAGCACAGCACCAGTCCCAGCACCACCACCACCACCACCACCACGTTGACCACCCTGTGAAGGCGGCGTCTCCACTACCACTTGGAGGCCACTTGGAGGTACCTGGGCCCTCCCCTCGGTCGAGGGCCAAACGAGTCGAGGTACGTACCTCGACAGCTAGGGCGCTGCTGTTGCCCAGTGCTATGGGCAGGGGTCCAGCGATTATTGCACAGTCAGTGCTGCTGCATCTCCACAAGGCATAGGACGCCGAGCACAGTCAACGCCAATGCTGCTGCTTGCTGGCATCATCCCCCAGCAGCGAGGGTGACCCAGGGCGACCCTGTGAGGGCGATCCTGGCCTCTGCTGTCTCTGACCTCAAATCGCGGGACGGACGAGCGACAACCCACCCAGCTGGGACCGAGGCCCAGGCCAGCCAGCAGCGATTGAGACAGGCAGGCATGCCTGCTGGGCCAAACCATGTCGCGAGTCGCATCCGTCGCTAACACGTCCTGTTCCCAGAAAAGCAGGCTGTGTATATTCCCAGCCAAGATGCAGTAGCTTGGGTGGTATGCGTGATTGCTTTCCAATGGAAGCAGCAGGAGAAGCGACTGTCATTCGCTCCAGCGTTTGCTTTTTTGCATTCGCTTTTTTTCACTTTGCCGACAGCACCCCCTCCCCTCTCATCTTACCAATGCACAATGCTCGCTTCTCCATGCTTCTTTCTGCTCGTCCTGCGCCTGCCACCACCGAGAGGGGGAGGGACTGCGTTGTCCCTACGTCCGTAGTGGGTTGTTTTTGGAACCCAGGCCCAACCCCCATGGATGCCCCTACTGGCTCGCTTTTCAATTTGACGATGCTTCGCGCCAGCACGCACGCGCGGGGGGGCGCAAGGAGGACGGCGGGACAGGAAGGGCCCAGCAGCCACAACGTTCTGGACTCTCTCTGGACCACCTCCATCTCGGCAACGGAAACGCCGGCAGGCACGAAAAAGAAGCAAGGAAATCAAAATACCTGGGGCAGCAGCACCCCCTTTTTCCCGCCAGCGTTGTTGGGGGGGCAGACGGACGGTAAAAAGGACCAGCTAGCGCCTGGCGGGCTTGCATCGTTAGGGTCGTGGTCGCTGTTGTCCGTCTCTGGTCTGGCCGCGGGCTGGTTCCTGCGCCTTCCCCCTCAAGGTTTGAACCGTGCGGTACAGCCACGATGCGAGCCAGATGCACGAATGTCTTGGTCCCATATGCCCGGTACGTACTGCACACCAGTGACATGGTCGAGAGAGAAACAGAGAGAGGAGCAGAAAGCAGCCTAGCGGTCTGATCCGCGCCGGGGGGCCACCCCAAGCATCAAGCATGCTTCGACGCTACCCACCGATCCCAGAACCAGGACGGTAAAAAGAAGCGAGAAAAGAGCTGGGCACCTAGGGTGTGCCCCGTCCCCAATCCCACACCAGCTACCGGCGAGGGGGCAGGCGGAGATGTGTGTGGGAGGGAGAGGGGACCCGCCGGGCAGGGAAAAAGATTGTGGTGGAGGCTTTGGCAGATATTTTTGTCCATGGCACGTGGGTTTGGGTGCTGTGCTTGGCTGTCGTGCGTGTGAATTGTGTATTGTGTGTGTGATCAAATTGCGGTTGCGTTGTTTTGTTGCCGTGCTTGCTGGCTGGCGCTGTCGCCTTGTCGTGACTGCCCTGTGGCTGCCGCTGCCATAGCCCGGCTGCCGCGCCAGCCAATAGTCGCGGTTTTTTGGTTTTTTCTTTTCTAGCGGCGTCACTTCTCGCGCGCAACTGCTGCTTCAAGAGACGCAAGTGCAAGCGACAATACTTCGCAAGACGCAACAAACTTAATGCACAGCCTTGTTCCGCGCTTGGCACAATCCCTCCCCATGATCATCCCATCCCACCAAGCCCACCACCATCCTCAACATCATCTCATCTCCCACACCCGTCTCGCCCGCTCCCGGTTCCAAGCCAGAGAGAGGCTCAGATGACATGCCAAACCCCCCTCCCTTCCGAGCCGGAAGTGGCTTTGCGCCATTGGGCTGCCCGAGGGCAACACCCTCCCAGTTCCCTCGACTTGTCTCTTATGGCGGCCCCAGCGGCTCGCTGCAGCTTGTCATACTGCACCAACAGAGAGAGAGCCCACAACCACCCTCTGTTGTTTCCACATCTCACCCGTGCTCTGATGCTGCTGCTTGTCCCAATCCGGAAACTTTCCAGCTTGGATGGGAATGCCCTTTCTCGCCCATGTCCGACCGACATGGCGGTCAAGTGTAGTGTGCAATTTTATCCCTCGACAAGTCTGTCCCGGAACGCAGCACCCGTCGAACCGTATCCCATCCATTCGTTGGGTGTGTTGCCAGAGACGGACACGAAATGGTCCGATGGTGGAAGTGACTAGACTAATACATACAAATTAGCCGTCCGAGGGGGCACCGCCCGGCTGCTTAGTGCAAGCGCGCCATGACCCCATCTTGATCTCTTGATCTTATCACCAACGTCAGCGGTTTCCCTCCTCCTCCTCCCCTCATCCCATGCCAGGCAGTCAGGCAGACGTGCCGGGTCTTGTCCAAACGCCACAGCCCTTTTTGCTTCGCTTGTCTTGCAATGCACGGCAGCATCCGCTCGGTGGCCAAGATGTAGATCCTTTCCCATGTCGGGGACTCCTGTGCACACCCCCACCTTGAGAGAAAGAGCAGGAACGGGCGACCGAACGGGGGGAGGGAGGACGCGCGAAAGCCTCGCCTGACAACACAGCAAAACCTCGGCAGAACTGAGGGGGGGTGAAAGTGAAGCCTTTTTTTGGATTCATACTCTGCGGGCCGAGGAGTCATGATTGACTCGCAGAGTCTCTCGTGGCTTGCTTGTGCCCCACCGTCCATCATCCCACGTCCCAAAGCCAAGCTTTTCTCCCCCTTGCTCTCCCCTGCTCTCCCCTGCTCTCCCCCTCCCTTTTAGCGATGGATTCGATAAACACGCGTGTCTACAGAAAGAAGCGAGGCGGGCTGTAGCTTCAGCTTCAACGTCCTTCTCCGCACTTTTGCCGGAGAAATATGGAGACGAGAAGCAGCAAGTGAGGAAGTGAGGCAGATTGAGCTGCCAACAAGGTCCTAGATTTCAACATCCATCAGTCCATCTGCCTCGGTGGCTGGACGCTAAAGCCCAAAACAGGAGATTATATGGGACCCGCCACGATCGATAAGGCTCATCCCGATGTTTTATTTTCAGGTATCTGCTGCGCCGCCGTGACCATTCGTTCACCCAAGCCGTGCATCCATTCACGCTGCTCCATTCCCAGTTGCTTCTGAGCGGCACTGCCCGACACACAAGTGGGATATCTCTGCTTTGGCAGCGAGACATTTTCCTGGCTGGGCCTCTACAATCTTTCGCACAGCAAGCCCGAAACGGAACACACAGTACACAGTAGATTCGTTCCTTCAGTCACCCGGCAAATTAGTCACCGGCGTCGGCAGCAAAGACAGATTTTCGAGCGGACAAGGAGGGGGGGGGTGGGTGTGTGCGTGCTTGTTCCAAGACATGGTCCCCCGGCCCCATCTGGTTGGCCAAAAGACGACGTGAAGCAGACAAGGCAGCAGGACCACCACCCGGTCAGGGCCAATATTCGAGACCTGGGGGAGATCGCTGGCTCTAGGATAGAGGCCCATCTATTGCCCCCGTCCCCATGACGGAGCGTAGCATCATGTGTTCATTGGGCGACCAGGGCAGGCGGCCAGCCAGCCCAAGACAAGACCGGGCCAGGACCCGGCCCCGAGGCGACCCGCCCCGTGTCCGGGCCTCGGGGGGGGGAAGCACGAACGCGACATGTCAGCAGATATGCAACACCGGAACAAAAAAGCCCATGGGCGATGCGCAAGGAGATTGCGTCTGTAACAGCAAAAAGCTTGCGCGCGACTGCCGGGCTCGAGGGATTTGGTCTGATCGCCCACCCCGTCGCTTCAAAATATTGGAGCGAGCCCGAAAGGGGCTAGACTAGTAAGGGCTCAGCAAAAAAGGAGATAATAGGACGAGGGTTGAGTCGAGATGCGGGTTCCAAGCCCCGACCCCTGATTGGCCCATTTACGGGAACTGGGCCCGTGCCATGGGGGAGTGGAGATGTGGGGGAGAGATTGACGCGTGCTAAAAAAA